TATATGTATATATATATATATCAATCGTATGTGCAAAGATAGAGATGGGCAAGTGGACTATGCAGAACTGTTAAAAATGAGGCCTAGGATTGTGCTTGAGGTTCGGGATTTTCCGTTTGAGCGGTGCTTCCTCTTGCGAGAAAAGCAAGGGCGCCTGTCACTGCTGCCATCCTGGTGAAGGGCAGATGGGAATTCTGAAGCCATGCAAGCTGGGGTTTAGGGTTAAGGTCCCTGACGAAAGCCTTGAAGCCTAGAGGCACCTGCAACTCATTTGCAAGGGCCTAAGTAGTCTGAATCCAACCAATCCGAGTGCACCTTGGCGGTTAAGCTAAGCCGATGCTGCATGCCCTGGGGTCCGGAAGCTTAGTTGTCAGAATGTGATTTGGAGCTCTGAGTGCAGGCTTGCTGCAGGGGTACCCTGCAATGCCCATTGGGTCATTTTACGCAAGTCATAAAGCCGCGCTAGACACAGGCATCGCTAGCTACTTTGAATCCTTGAACCCCAAATCGTTGAATCATATGCCATAAGCCGTGGGGCCCCGAAAAAGGCCAAACCTCAAACGCCCGACATGCGAAAGGCCTCAACAGCGGGGGCACCAAGATTCACCAAGAAAGCCGACACAAGGCAGTCATATTCCTACTACTCAATGTGGGCTGGTGCACCAAATATGCTCCTGGTTTCCGTTGTTCAAAAATCAATCCATGCCAAATCCTTTTCTAGCACTATCTCTCCAGCGGTCCCGAGCCTGCTCTGACGATGAAGGCCTTCTCAGTGTAAGGTACCACAGGCTCGCCAATCCAAGCCCGCCATGCGCACCCGTCCCAGCCTCGTATTCCCACTACGCTTTAGGATTCAAGGTGTTATAATACAGGGTTGAAGTTTCAGGGTTTAAGATTGAGCTTGAAAGGCCACTGCTCGCAGTCTTTGTGCTTCCGCCGCGGCTTCGTATCATGGTAGCCCAACATGGCCGCACAGCGATACATCGAGTGTTTCGCAGTCTTATCCTAGTGCAAGACTCAATGAACGTCGAGGTCATGAGCGTCATGGAAACTACCCCTGTGGCAGTGGTCGTTCAGCCCTGCCGTATGGAGTCAGGCCGCTATGTGCGGGCTGCCTCTCTGAAGAGGTAGCCGGTGTCCGAAAGCTAGCTTGATAGACATACGGACTCGGGATCTGAGTTGGCAAGAGCGTGTTAGGAGTAGGTATTGTTGACAAAGGTTTGGTACGATCTTGCACCACCGGTAAGAGACTCTATTTGGTAGCCATGCCCAAAACCGCCCACCCCGACAAACCCCGCACTGTCTTTGTACGCAAGTCGTGAACAAATCCTGAGATAAAGCTTCAACTCTTCTGCTCAGCATCCGCGACAGGGTCCGGTCCTACTGTGCAGGTCTATCGACGTAGACGCTGCTTCGTGGAGCGAGAAAGGTAGGCAACGGGGGTAGATGGCACCTGCACGGCGACTGTACGGAGGCCCACATATTGTTACATGAGGAGACGAACAACTAACGAAATAGTTCAGCAGAACACACACACACCCACACATACATGCAGGGTTTTTCGTTCTGAGATGACGATGGAGTGGTGATGGTGATACTATGGTTGCGTAACAGGCATGTATAGGGGTGCATGTAGGAAGAGCAGCGATGGGTAGCGACCCCCAGACTCGGGGCAGGGGTTTTGTTCAGTGGGACCTTGAAGGTGTGGGGATGAAGCATCCTGAGAAGCTGTCAGGGTTTATGTAGGACTGCGGGTTTAAATAGGCTTAAGCCCTAAACCTCCTCCGGGGTTTGGTACAGGGCTCGGGTTTCGATAGGTTTAATCCCTATAGGCCGATATAGGTCCTAAATCCCCAAGCAGCAAAGCCTCAGGGTTTTCCATGTTTCAGGTGCAGGTTTCGGACCGGTGATCCTGCCGAAGTGTTGGGGGCTTCGGGCTCGAAGGCTTGGTGTGTTTAGGGTTTGAGGGTTTTATATCCTGAACCCTAAATATACTAAGCCCCAAACCCGAAATATACCAAGCCCTAAACCCTGAGCGCTAGATCCGACATCCCCCAGACTCTGTGCCGCTCGAGATCCGCGTCAAGCTGGATGGCTTCCTGGGCCTGGCTACGCAGCGTCATCTTAAGGCCTTCCGTCCGTTCCTGCTCTCCTGCCGAGAGCCGGTCAAAGACTGTTGGAATTTCATTCGCAGTTGCTCCGAGGTTTGCTCAGTCTTGTTGGGTGTTCTCTTCTATCCGTGGAAAGGTTTACGGCTTACAGATTCGATGTCAGGAGACGAAGGCCAACAGAGATCCACCTTCATGTGTCCTTGTGTCCAGTTGCTGGAGCAGACCCTCTTTGCTCAAGTCATATTATATAGGTTCGAAGAAGCGAAGACAAGAGATGGAAATCAACTTCGGGTGCGAGGGTTCAGAGTTGAGCATGCCAGGCGTTGCAGCCTTTTTTGATTCATCGTCTTGGATGTTGCTTGAAACTTCCCAGTCCGAATATCAGTGTGCCTTTAACATTGTGAAGGAGTTGTTGATAAGCTATTGCTGACACCGCATGATGCCATGCATTTAATGCAAAGATGCAGATCAAAGTCGAGGATGACTGGGTTCCTGCCGAACGTGTGGTTCAGCAGGGCGAACAGGACCATTCGCAAGCAGAGGTGTCAGATGCAGATCTTGGGCAGGTGGAAAGTATGGAGGGAGAAGTGGCTGACTTCATTAGCAAGCTCCAGCTAACAAGTTCCGACATGTTGCGGGCGACGACGGCATATCGAGCGCTGTGGCACTTTGGCCGGCCGCTCCGCGATGGGCGATGCTACCGGCAGCTCTACGAGTGGAGCTTTGTCACGAAGCATGTGGCGCAGTTTTGGAGCCATTCTTGGCATGGACCGGTTGTGGCTAAAGTGCTGTTGCTGTTGGTCATGTACAACGGCTTGCCGGCTGTTTTGGTTGGCAGCGCATCTGTGGCAATCACATTGCTACTGCATCATCTGTGTTTGCTTCCATGCAGCATCGAACGGAACGGACAGTCAGCCATCGCTGTTAGTGTCGGTTTGCTAGCCAGTTCTTTGACCTTCTTCTTTTGGCGGTCCCGTCAGCGGGTCTTTTTGGACAGGATTTGCATCCACCAAACAGATGAGAATCTCAGAATGATGGGTTTGCTGAATGTCGGAGCAGTGCTGAACAAATCTGATTCCCTACTCGTTTGCTTAGACCATACCTACATCCGCAGGCTCTGGTGTGTACTAGAAATATCTGCATTTTTGAAAAGCAACGGCCAGGAAGGGATCAACATCAAACCCACCAGCTGGGGCGTCAGCATTGTTATCCTATTCTTGGCATGGAATGGCATCATGTTGGGTATCGCGGTTGTAGGTGCGATTCTCAGACAGTCGACTGGTGTCACAACTGTTCTGGGTGATGGACAGCGGTTGGGCTTCTTGCTTTGGGTGATACTCGGCAGCACAGCCGTGCCTAGTTCCTTTCTCACCTTGTACATGGTGAGCCGCTCCTTGCGTGCCCACTTCCGAGCGGTCGATAGCATTCGCAAGCAGCTGGAAACTTTCTCCGTCAAGGAAGACACGGTCGCCCACTGCTGCACTCTGAACCACGTCGACCCCGCCACCGGCGCAACACTCACATGTGATCGCGTGATTCTTGAAAAATGCCTGGTGTTGTGGTTCGGCTCGGTGCAGGCGTTCAACGAATTCATTCAGAAAGAGCTGTCAGTGGTGTTCAAGAAGCTCACAACCAGCACAGTCCCCTACACTTGGATTGTTGCTGCTGGAATCCCTCTTCTTTGGTTTCATGCCGGGAATGCAGCTTATCATCTGCGGACAGAGAACTACCAGGCCGCAGCGAGGCTTGTGTTCTACGTTCCATCTTGGTGGTTGGCGATCGGCCCAACATGCCTCCAACTTTTCGTCTGGCTGCTTCGCCGTGTGCGGCGACAGCGCAGCAGTTTGTGCCAGGAGGTGCTTGTCAATTTCGGATGCTCCTTGTACGCCGCTTTCATTTACTTCGTTGTTGCTGCTTTTGAAGGTTTCTGGTATACCACGTTTGGAACGGATGTGCCCTCGATGGCAGCATTTTCGGTGGTCGTGATGACGATCTGCGCTCTCATCCCGTGTGCGACTTGCTGCATGTCATTCTGGCCACAACGCAGGGCATGAGGTACAATTTTCGAGCAACAGGAGGTAAGCCACATCTTCCGATTTTCTTTGCAGGTCATGCATGTACAGCTTAGTTGGCTTAGTTTCAACCCATTGTCAAAACCCGGTGTGCAAGCGGCAATGAAAGTGCAAATGGTTTCCTGAGAAGCCTTTAAATCCCAAATTTTCAAAAGCAATGGCGCCCAGAGCCCGAACTCCCCAAGCCCTCAACTCCGAAACTGCAGAACCCGTCACTGAACACAAGAAACTCGAGGCTCACTTCGGCCATCGCTACGGCGGCTTTTGCGCCCCGGGCCGGGAGCTCTGCCTTGAAGTTTGCGCTGTTTGAAGGGGGGTCCTACATGCAGGGCCTGAGGTTTAGAGTTCACCTTTTCTCTCCATTGTAGTTCTTGTGTCGTGGTTCAGCAAATTTTATCATCAGGGTCCTATAGGGTAACCCGAGAATGGAACGACAGTAACAACAATGGAGACTATGACTTTCCGTTTGAGCGGTGCTCTTGCGAAAAAGAGAGCCTGTGCCATCCTGGGGGGGTGCAGGGAGGCTTTGCAAGCTGCGCTGGAGGAAGGTCACTAGGACACCAGGGTGTGTGGTGCTTAGGGAGAAAGTCTCTGACTAAGGGCTTTAAGCCCCAAGGGAACATAGTGTGGAACCTATCCGAGTTAAACTAGCAGCTATAGCCATGGTTCATGCTAGGAATGCTTAGTTGATGTTGTTAGTGTAGGCTTAACCTCATTACATGCTAGCTGCAATACCGTCCAGCGAGACTTGCAATCCTAACCTGCATGTTAACTTTGATGGCAAGTCATTCTATGCAGAATCACCGCTAGTTTAGACTAAACTGAACAGACCTCGTTACTGGTTGTCTTCACAACCAAGCTGCCCTTGGCTAAACCAAGAGCCTTTCCAATCTCCAAAAGGCCAAAACCTTGGCACGCGAGACTCAAAAAACAGGAACACGAGGGCATAGTCGATGGGCACCGAATTCCAAAAGCCCGGGAAACAGCAAACCCAGGGAAATGCGTCTTATCATCGTAGATGGCAGTGAGCCCGGATGACATCATGGACTTACCAAGCTAAGCATCCCGTCATGCGTGCGCTTGGGGTCCAAGGTGAGGGGGGGATGGTCGTAGCCTACCGTAGAATGGTCCTATTCGTGTGGGTTTGGTTGGTTTCATGGTTCAGGTTTCAGGACTTGCAAGCAATCCTCTGTTGTCCCCTCCTCTCCCAGGCCTTTGTATCATAGAAGCCCAAAACGTTAGGAGCATCTCCTTTCCCACCGAATGCGAGATATCCCATGGCCTTGTAGAGCCTAAGACCTAAGACAACATCCGCATGCCCTCCAGCCCCAAGCCAATAAACTTAACAGAGTTATTCCGGCCTTGCGGTGCCGAGCCATGCAGCTGAGTGCGGACTGCCGCTCTGAAGAGGCGACTGACCTTCCGAAAGCTAGGGCAGCGGGGCCAAGAGCGTGTTAAGGCTACGTGTTGCTGACACTGTTGGATCTTCTACACCGTTGGGGAAAGACGATCTGCAGCTTCTGTTGCGGTGACTTGAACGGGATAGATGTTGCAAAGAAGCGGCATGTGCGAATGTTGGCGGAGCCCACCCCCTGGTGCCTTGCATGCCTCAAAGCTGTCTGACTAGATATCAGGACGTTGTGTCAGAACTTTGTGCAGGTTGACTTTATGATTGCGTCCCCAGGCTTGGCTCAAGTGCTGTTCGTTTCTGATGGTTTTCAAGAGAACTGCGGGTAGCAACATGGTGAAGGCCTTGATTCTGGCGCTCCTTCCGGTGGCGCTTGCATTCGCATCATGCCCCAGCGGAGAGTGTGAGGAAACCGCGGTGGTGCAAGTGCGAAAGTCCGGGAGGTCCAAGCGGGACTTGATGATCGGCTATTGGGCTTGGGCATGGGAGGGAGCGGCAAACACCATCCCAGGACCAGCAAACCAAACCATGGGAATCTGTTTCAGTGGATACACAGATGCTCAAACCAACCTGAACTTCTGCATTTCCGAGGGCGTCATTCCTTACATCTGCAGTGGCTCTGACGTTACTTGCACCAAGTGGATGACGGTCGGAGGAGCTGGTACGACCACGGACAGAACGGTTTTGAGTGGCGCAGTGGGCCTAGCGGCAAGCATCCGATCAGCAGGATTCGATGGGGTCATCTTCGATTCGGAGTATGTCGAGGCACAGTCGACTTCCACAGACCTAGTGGAGGACTTTTATGAAGCCACTGCAAACTTGTCGTCTGCGGGTCTCATGGTTGGAATCACCACAAGCCACAGTGCGCCTTTGGGATGCACCAACTGCAATGCCGCCGAGGTCGTGAAAGGTTGGCTTGCAGATCCAAATCTTGACTGGATCTCCCCGCAGCTCTACAGCAATGGCTACTCACTGGAGCTCGTGCCAACCTCCGATTGCTCGACCGAGTCGCCAGCATGTACTTGGGACATTTACGAAAACGCCATTGTGCAAATTGTGCCTTCGGTCCCTTATGCCTACATGTACGATCAAGCTTCCACTAACGCCGTGGATTACTTTAAGGACACCTACAACATCACGTTGCAGGGATACATCCAGTGGATTCAAGAAGTGGACAGCTCCTTCAATCCCGACCCGAGTCCGAGTCCTTCCCCATCGCCCAAGGGTTACTACGGGCGCAAGAAGTGGTTTGGTCGATGAAGGAGCCAATGAAGTCTTGACAGTTCGAAGCCCGTTTCAATTTCGCATATGCCAAGGTTAGTACGACGCTCGGTCAGCAAGCAACAGTGGCAACGGTCTGAAATTTTGCAAAGCCTACTATGTTCCAAACACGCCATTAACATCACATTGAGTGCTGTCGCAACCTGCAGTGACAACCACTGCGCTTGCGAAGAGCCTCCTGTAGTGGGGCCCTGCCTCCAATGTGACAACCACTGTGCTTGCGAAGAGGCTCCTGTCTGGCTCCAATGTGAGCAGAATTTTGACCGTGTCCCTGCATGGCCTGCTCGGCACGGTTCGCCATCACAACCGTAGTGTCAGCCTTCGCATGCCTACAGCTCTTGAACCGGCTAGAGTCCAGAAATGACCCTTCGCCGGGGACGGATTTGCGACCATGGCACAGACCTGAATCTATAGGGTCTTGAGGAGCTAGTATTATTAGTAGTGTTCTTCCTCAGGCGTCCCGAGTCACAGGCGTCCCCTTTTGTTCTGTCGTTGGCACTACGACCCGAACCCGAAACCCAATGCCGCTAAGTCCCAGATCCAAGCTACGTTGCGCTTAACCCTACAAGCAATTCAAGCCTGAACCCTGAAACCGAGAAGACCTCCACCTGCAGATTGTCCTTTATCTCTCAATGTCCCTAAACCGTTAACTTCTGACTCAACCCTGACTCCTTGTAATATAAGCCTTAATCATCAACCCCAAACTCCTGATCAAACTCTTTATACGGTAGACCCCCATAGAGCTTGAACCCCTAAAACACAAGCTTCTCAACCCCAAGCCTTGAATGATTCCGGCTCCTCAGCCCCAAGACCGACCCCAAGACAACACCCTTCACCCCTTGACCTAGAAACCCTAAACCCTTGATGCCCCGATGAAGCCCGCTCAAGAAATTCATTCCCCAAAACTTCGGCCACAAACTGTGCGCACCTTCTCCCTAGACCAGAAAACCGTAGACCCTCAACCCCAAGCCCAAACCCCAAAAGAACCGAGCACGGAAACACCCGAAGAGCCCTAAAGCAATCAGGCGATCCGGAGAGACTCATGGCCTTTGCTTCGGGCGGTGCAGGCCTGTTGAATGCTTTGGGGTGGGGGTTTGTGGCGGGTTCCTATCAGGGCCACTTTAAAGGCTCTGTAATAACGGAGAGTGGGGTTCCACTAATTAGAGAGGGTAAGGGTGCTGTAGGGGATGAGGGCATTCTACGTAGGGGGTACTAGTGCGGTTTAGTTGTTTTTTGTTTTCTTGGGTTTAGGGCTTAGGGCTGCTTGGGTGCAGCCTGACACGAATCACACGCTTAGCTTTGTATGGAAAGCTGGGGCCCGTGTCGCACTTATCTGCAGGCTTTCAGGGATACAGAGACTCCCCGATGTTCGGGGTTTCGCTGCTTGGGGCATTTTGGTATTTAGGGTTGAGGAATTCCGATTGACAGGGGTTGAAGGATCGAAGGATCGAGGATGTAGCGGTGTAGGATATGGTATCACTCTACGGATTATCGCAGTATGCTTCTCGCCCGTGCCCTTTCTGTCTACCCACCTGTACCCTGATTGGACGAAAAGGACGTGGCGCTCGCCCATCTTCCCACTCTGGCAGCTCCGCCACAACGTGATGCTGGCACCATGTTGGGGGCCTTTGACCCCGAAAGCCTCGACCCGTTCTTAAGGCCTAACCTGTGGCTTCAGGTTTGAACGTAGCGGGGGAAATGTCAAGAACTTGTCCTCACGACTGATGCATATATACACACGCAACATATGCATATATATATATATAT